CAAAACTGTGTCATTTTATTTTATTTTATATTATTTTATTTTATGTTAATTTCATGATCTCATTTTATTTAAAATGCTTCCATCGAAAGGCTTTAAATTCTTTATTTCCTTTGCCCACAGTGCGCGCCTTTTGGTCCTCCGGCATAGAGGATGGGGTTGTCCGTTAAGCAACATAATTAAAAGCAACAGCAGCAACGCAGCACCGCAAATAGCCGAAACGCCACCGGACCGCCGAGAAGGCAGCTGGAGGACGCATTGTCAATGGAAAACAAGAGAGTAAATATGGGTACTAAACTGTCATGGTGACTTATCGCCTCAGAAAGGAAAAAACTAAAAAGCAAGTCAGAAAATCAGAAAATCACAGCGAACCGCAGATTTGTACCGACTACAAATGACCATACATACTATATACAGTACTACATGCACTTAGTTGTTATGTACGACAACGCTGTAACTAGAGAGGAGGTATTTAAATATTTGTTTTTAGAAAATTAATTAAAAATGTATAAACTAATAAATGATTTAAGCGCTCTAATAAAAAAAGTAAGAATACAAACACAGAAATTTAAATTTCCCTTACAATATTCCTCGTTTTCGCTTATTTTTACTTTTCCAACATTGGTTTGAATTGTGTGTGTGTGTGTGTGTGCACTTTGTTGACTCAATTAATAGAAAAAGCGGCGTTGTGCAACCCTTTTAAAGCTCTTTAGCTCGGCCAAAGTAGCCCGTCATAGTACATAGCCTAAGGAGTGTTGCGTACTACAATGAAGAAAGGCATGACCACTTGCGGGTTGCCAGACAATAACGACTCAATTGTGCATCAAAGGTTTTAAGTTCAAAATGGGCATGAACTTTGAAATGAACTTTCATGAACGCATGTGGTCATTTCTTGGAAGGAGGAGCCGAAACAAATTGAAAAAGGTCGATTAAAAATAAATCTATTATTTTGATATCAAATTGAAGATTTTGTTTATAATTGCTATAATGTTTTTCTCGTTAACTAGTGGTTATTTCATTGCGCCGCTCGCAAAGAAACCCTAATCCTTATTGGCAAACTTTTCTCAAGATTCTCTTGAGGCGAATTTTTCACCGCCATTTGACAGGAGCAAGTAGTAATCACTTGTAGTAAACACCAACCCAGCTTTTGAAGTTTCTGCTGGGTCACTTTCCATGCGTGAGACTTGACGTTGTCATGGTGAAACAAAATTATATTTATATGCATTAGAGATAAGCCCGATGACTCCAAAAAAAAGGAAAATACTTATTCCAGGACGGCCAAAAATAAAAAAAAGGAATTGGTGGTTGAGAATCGAAGATTAAGACTTTACTGGTAAAAGGATCAACTAGAACCATTTTGAATGATCATTTAGGTATAAAAAAAGTGAAGGCTCAATTGTTCGTTGCGTCTACATTTGTGGAACAATGATTTCCAACTACCACGATGTCATGAAAGGTATTATTAGTGGCATTCTTGGATCTACGCCTGCGACGTGGAAAGAAAAGATCAATCGGCCGAATATCGTGGCAAAGGTGAGACGACGCCGAAAAATGTACGTCAAAGCTGGTCAAAAATCAAGGTTATGTAGATAGTTTTAACACCACGATAATGCAGCGGCACATACTGCATTGACTTTTCGTGAGTTTTTCGTCAAATTTCCAGCTTCTTGCTAATCAGCAAACTCAAACGACCGATCCGGCGAAACCGCTTTGAGTCAATTGTAGATATTAAACGTCATAGCAGTACTTCCAAAAGTAGAGTTTCTTAGAAATGTAAACATCTAATGCTTAACTGGAAGATAAATTTGACTCTTTGATTAAAATCCGCATTTCAGGGAATATGAATGACTAAAGTCTCCCAATGAAATATTTTTCAAAAAGATTTCTCTCACATTTTGGGTAATTTTTAATTTTGAAACTTCAAATAAAAACTTGAATAAAAAATAAAGTACCTTTATATATATGTATATATATATATGTGTACATACCATTGAGTTTGCTTACTTAAGTGTTAATAAAAGAATTTAAAGCTTTGGCTTTATCGTCAACGAGAAGAGGAAGTAAAATATTTTTGGTTTTATTGTTCCACCACTACACATACAATGCGCTACCAGCAATGACACGCCAGACACGCCAGCTGAAGCTTTTGAATGAAATTCCAAATACCTGTGTAGATATGTATTTATGTAAGATATGTAAGACATTTGAATCCTCTTCCTGTAGAAAATTTAAAATCTACTTTAAATTACCCTCTGGTTAGAGATAATTCGTAAAATGATTTTTATGAAAAGCTTACACGTCTCCTTTAAGTATATTTACTCGTACGTGCTGTATTGATTTTAATGCTGTATTTTATTGCATTTCACCTGTACAAATTAGATGAAAATGCCCACATACTTACGTAAATACATACGTGTACATGAATATAAAGAAGATATCCAAAGCCTTGGCATATAGATACTTATAGAGCTACTTAACCTTTTGCCTTCAGTCCAACACACAATAGCAGCATTATAATAGACAGATAATTATATGTATGACAGATACTCCTACATAAACATATGTATGTACAGTTGGCTACACAGCAATTGCTGGCACGGCCAACCGCCTTTATATAAGAAATGGTAAAAGGCTGGAGTCTCTTATTCGTTCAATGACAATTACGAGGACTTTTACGTTCCCATAAACATTCTCAAAAGGAAATTAAATTATAATACAATGAAAATGCGATAGTAAAAAGTAGAGAAGTTCAATTCTCTTTAGTTAGAAGATGCAGTGCATTGTAATACGTCACAAGGAAGGTCGCCAAACTTGGGTATCAAGAGACCTGCAGAGTTATAGCGGTATGTGATTAATAAATAACTGGAGTTTTCTTGCTAGCGTTTTACTTGATCCCAAAACTCCACAAGTGGAAATAAAGTTGAGTTAGCTTAATTATGACACAGCATGGCGAATCGAACAAGAACTTGTATGTTTAACATAGGAGACTGGTACAAACACATATTGACAGAATGGCAAGTGTTTTACCATATTCAAACGCTATTTTCAAATGTATTTTTGTAACAAAATGGTATCAAAGGTAACAAGCTGGAAAATGACGAAGACACCTTTAAAACACAATTGTCAATATATTATAGATTTAGCGGGTTGAAAGCTCTATGTTGGATTCCCGCATCTCTTCATAAACTTAATTCAAATATACCAAAGTGATCCCAAGGCTCGGTATCGCAACTCTCATAGTGCTTTGAGTCAACCAAAATGATTCAATACTAAGTATAGCTTTGCTAATTGAAAGATATTCGGTTCACATATTCTGGTTTGCAATTATAGAAGAAAGAATTTCATCATGATTACTATCAACGCGAGGATGCAAACTCTTGAACTCTGGCAAGATCGGTGGACAAGGGAGAGCAAAGGAAGATGGACCGCCAAGCTGATTAAAGAAATAGAGAATGGCACAGTAGAAAACACGGCGAGGTAAATTACTACTTAACACAGATGCTGTCCGGTCACGGGTATTCCCGAAAATACCTATACGACG